CGGGCGCTCCGCTGGTGCAGCCCCGGCTCAGGGCTGGGGGGGCCCTGGGTTGTGGGGACCCTGGGGGGCACGGCGGGAGGAGCCCCCAGCCCCGCAGGGCCGCTACCCGGTGTCCCCCGTGCCCTCCCCGTCCCGCCGGGACCCTGCGCGGGGTTCTTTCTCCTCTCTCTTCTCCTCCTCCTCCTCCTCTCGGTCCATCAGTGCCTCCTCCCCCCGCCCCCTTTAAACAACGATTCCTACGAAACGTGCCCGGTGCCACAAAGACTTCTTTGATCTCACTGAGCCGAGGAAGGATGGGGCTAGAGAAGAAATTAAATAGCAAAAGGAGGAAACGAGGAGGGGAAAGTCCTCCCAGGGGAGGTTGATGCTTCTTTCTCAGCAGAGCAGCCAGGCCAGAGCCTGCCCGGAGCCGGTGCCCTGTCCTGGAGTGCGGGATCATCCTGCTTCTGGCCCGGGCACAGGGGCTGGGGATGCCGCTCCGCAGAGCGAGTGGCTGGGGCGCGGGCACCACCGCCCCCCCCTCCCCGTGCAACCCCGGCCCCGGTAGAGCCATCTCTGGCACGGAGGAGCTGGCAGCCGAGCCTGGAGAAGCAGCCAGAGGGTACAAGCAGCAGTTTGTTTTCGGCCACTTGCCAGGAGCCGCGGGGAGATGCGGCGCTGCCAGGGCCGTGCTCTCCGGAAGCGCGGGGCTCCGATGCCAGCGCTGCGGGACGGCTGGCCTTTCCACACCGGCCTGGCTCTTGCTCCAGGGAAGGGCTGACCCATGCTACGGTGGATGGGACGGGTATTCCAGGGATCCTTTCCCACTCCCACCACGTCGTTCCCACCTAATTGGAGCTGCCCCCTAAATTCTTACCCTCATCTGCCCCCTCGAGTGCTTTGCCCCATGACTCTGTCCCCTCACCCTGCTTGATCTTAGCTGCCCGAGGCAGCTGGACCCCTGCATTGCGGGCTGTGGGAGGAGGGGGCTCCCTGCCTGGACCTGGCAGAACTGAGCCCTTCCATGGCTGCAGGCTGGGACAGTGCTGGGCACCCTGTTGCCTGCAGCAGTTTCTCCCCTTCCTCCCTTCGGGGACGTGCACTGGGCAGAGCTGAGCAGTGCCTGGCAGGCATTCAGCTGCCCCTCGGAGCCAGTCCATCCCTGCTGGCCCTGCAGCCCCTGCTCTGCGCCCACCGAGCTGGCTGTGCTCTCCCTGCGCGGGCAGGTCTGGCCCTGCCAAGCCTGCGCCTCTGCCCTGCCTCCGCTCTGGATGGATGGCACAGGCAGCCAGCGGTGATGGATGGTGCTGCCAGAGCCCTGGCACGGGGGCCCAGGACGGGCAGAGGGGCTGCTGCTGCCTTGGGGGGACAAGAGATACCACAGGGCAGGGGGACCCACCAGCAGCTTCCTCACCTTCCTCAGCAGTGCTGCCATGGTGTTTGCCCAGCTCTGTCGCCATTGTGCCCTTGTGCTGGGGAGCAGTGCAGCAGGGGGGAGCCCAGTTCCTCCCCCCCCCCGTGACAGCCCAGCACCGCCTTGAGCACATCGTCATCCCCAGCACGCAGGGGCACGAGACTGTTCCCAGTCCCACGCCCTGGCACTCCTGAGGGCTCCCCGAGCATGGCACAATGTGTGGGGTCTGGAGGGACTCGAGGGAGCTGCAAGAAGGGGCTGCTGGAGAGCAAGGGCATTGGGGTTCTGCCAGGGGCTGCTCACTGGGGTCTCTGTTCCCCTCGGCCCCTTTGGCCTCTCTCCCCCAGCAGCCCCTCGCTCCCATCGCAGCTCCGTGGGGTGGTGCTGGGAAGTGGCAGGGCAGCAGGGCAGGGACCAGCAGGGCAGAGGGGACGGGGTTCCCAGGCTGGGGAGGGGGCTTGGGGTGGAGATGGTGTCAGTCCAGCCCTCAATTGCATTTTTGTTGTTATTTTAATATTTTTCCCTTTTACACTCTTGCTGCTTCAACATGACCTTGGCCAAATTATTTCCCCTCCCTTTGAGATTTATGGCCCTCTTCCAGAAATGATCTGTTCCATCTACGAAAATAGACATCGTGCTATTACATTTTAAAATATAATAAGGGCTGGGAGACCGCTCCTCTGCCACTCTCCCTTCCCACCCCCAGCCATTCCCCCACCACAGAGCACAAACCCCACAGGTCTCGGGCCACGAGCGGGTGCAGTGAGGGTGGGAGCATCCCCAGCCCTTTCCAGCTCCAGAGAGGAGGGTTGTCCCTTCCTGGTTCTCCTCAGCAGAGCCGGGGTAACGGGAGATCACCCATCTGAGACTGCAGCTGCTCTCAGAAAATGGTGGGACTGCTGGAGGACAGAAACGGGCCAGGCTTCCTGCAGGGGGGCTGGGGGTGGCCCCTGGCTTGGTAACGCCAGTAAAACCTGGTTCACAGCTGAAAAACCCCACTCACAGCCCAAGGTGACAGCGTAGCCCATCACTCTGGGGACTCCCGAGCCCCCCAGGCATGTGCAGGGTGGCCTTTGCACAGTCATGCTCTATTTCTGTGGTTTTCTTGAGGTCATTATTATTGTTCTTTTCTACCAGGGCCTGGAGATGACTTGTCATCCCCGAGGATGGGGTCTCCTTCCCCCGCTGTGTACCCCAACTGTGCTGCCTCCCAGCGCCTGAGGAACCGGCACCAGCGGCCGCACGCTCTGGTGCAATGGGGATGGGGAGTAGAGGCAAAGGCAAGCTCAAACCCACCTCCCTGTCCCCATCCCCCTTCTGGGATCACGGGGGAGGGTCCTGGAAAAGCAAAGTGGCTGCAAAATAAACCAAACCTGAAAATCAAACTGGGACATTTCAGCTGTTGCTCTTCCTCCCCATGACCCTGTTTGTTTCCTGACTTGTGCATGCCTCTCTGTGTGTGCGTGTGGCTGTGTCTCTGTGTATGTTTTGAGATGAGTTGTTTTCTGTTGGATTTTTCCTCTCCTGTTGTAACTGCCCTGCCTTGCACCCCATCATCTGCAGGTGTGAGGCCTTAGAGGTGATTGCCCCGGGGTGCAGGTGGGCTGTGCCAACACCGTGCTTGGGTCATTATAAGGGGTACATTAACTCTACAGGATGTCCAGAGCTGATGTCTCTCTGGACAAACACAATCTGGGCAAAGGAAAAGGGCTGGAGAGGTGTCTGGGTTCGCTTTGCTTCCTGCTCAGAGGAGTCGCTTTGATCATCCTGGAAAGGCTTGTGCCTGAGCGCTCTGGTGTGAGGATGGGTCTGTCCCATGGCGTCACTGCCTTCCCAGATGGTGATGGGACCAAGAGGACAGGACGGAGCTGTGGTGGGGAGGAAAGGGGCTGGGTCTGCTCATGGATTAAGGTTAAACAGGAGGAGAAGCTGACCCCTCACAGCTGCTGCTCTTCAAATGTTTTATTTCCTGCTCTGTGTAAGCCCGGATTGACCTGCAGGCAGCAGAAAACGTTGAACAACAAACGATCTCCCTGAAAGGAGAAAAACACCAGAAAACCCCCGGGAAAAACCCAGTGTGTAGTACAGACCCCAGGCTGCTGGCGGGAAACATGGGAGGCTCTGGGGAGGAGGGAGGGCAGAGCTGGCACTGGGGCTGGGGTAGGACAAATGGCTGGGAACATGGGGGTCCCTTTCCCCGGCTCAAGTATCTGCCCAGGCTTGAGTTTTCCCAAGGGAACTGGCTCTGCCGCAGCCTTCCCGGAGCAGCATCCCGGGGGGTGGCTGGAGCTGGGGGCCGGGGTGCTGGCAGACCCACACTCAGGCCAGGGGGGTGCCAGATCCCTTTGCTGGAGGATGCAGGGGGGTCCCTACCGGGGGGCGAGGGGGGACTCTCGGGGCCGTGGGAGAGTGCCAGATCCCCAAACCCTTCCCAGGAGAGTGCCCTGAGCGCTCGGGGAAAAGGACGGTGCCGCTCCCCGCCATCACACGGCGGGGAGTTCTCGGTGAGCCGAGACCTGCAGCCCCAGAGGAGGAATTGGGGTCTGGTCTCTTCTTTTCATTAAAAAACCCCAAACAATAA